TGATCTAAAATTTAATATAAACAATTAATTTGAATTGGATTTTATCTAATCTGAAATTTATATATTTGTTTACAATATTTACACCATGAAATATAATGAATAAAATGGATTTACAAGTAGTTCTCTATGATAGCTTTCTGTTGTATTTTTGTTTGTCTTTTTTGACGTCGTCTTTCATCTGTTATAATAGCCAATATTTGGACAATATAGATATTACCATTCCAAGAGATTCGTGTCACGTCCTTATTTCATGCTTATTTTCTGGATTCTATTTGGATTCTGGATTATATAAAGTGGCATCTGCTTGAATTGTAATATCACTGTTGCCTATATGATAGTCACTATTCTATCTATATTCTTTAATATTCTTTTATAAATATAATATAATTTCGTTTAGTAATTATATTATACAAATCTCAATGATTACAAATCACAATGATATATATGTGTTTGTGTGTGTATATATATGAAATATAGATATCATAACTTCACACCATGTTATTTTGTATTAAAGCAAATTAAATATCGTTTAGATATCGATTTGTAAACCCCATCTGCCAAAATAAACCGCAAATAAAAAAATTGAAGGCTATAATAACAACGTGCTTATCTCTGGACATCAAGAACGTTAGAAATATTATGAAGAATTTTTTAAGTTACGTAAACCAAGACAGTAAAAAGATACAAAAAATACAAAATGTAAGACTTAACCTATTATGTACTTTGTTTTAGGAATTACAAAACAAAAATGAGAAAATATTTTAAAATGATCAAAAATATAATAATACAATCGATAGATCAACACCGAAAATGCTGCTTGTATTATTCATATCTATCAAGTATTAATCGATTAAATAACACATTATTTATTTCATGAAATTATGTTAGCTAGCAATTTCCTTTAATGTCATGTTCTCTTTTCTAGTTTTCATGTCTTTTAGATAATTTTAGTGCTGTTAGGTGACACTATTTTCTAATTTTATTTTATTCCGTTTGTTCAATGCTATTGACTGTTTTTATTTTTTGTTTCTTTGTAATTTTCAGATCGCTTGTAATTTTTGGTTTTGGTTTTATCCTCATACTTGGATTTAACACTTACACTGGCATTGCGATGTATTCACGTTATCATGACTGTGACCCAATTCAGGCAGGATTTGTTCAAAAAACTGATAAACTAATGCCGTACTTTGTACAAGATATTGTAGGCCATTTAAAAGGTATGCCTGGTGTATTTATATCGTGTGTTTTTAGTGCTGCTCTGAGTACAATGTCGGCCAGTTTAAATTCCTTATCTGGTATAGTCTACTTTGATTACATCAAACCATATATTAGACACACAGAGAGTCGTGCAAATCTTATCATGAAAGTATTTGTCTTCGTAACTGGAATATATTGTATACTTGGTGGAGCTGTTGTCGAGAAGTTCTCTTCCATATTACAAATGGTTTATTCTATTGGAGGTGTTACTTTTGGTTCAGTTTTTGGTGTATTTATGTTGGGAATGTTGGTGCCTAGAGCACATGGCAGAGTAAGTAAAACTAATTTTATTCGCGACATTACAAACTTGTTATAATTTTATATAATACATATATATTAAATGAATAACGAATGTAATTTATAGGCTGCCTTCTGGTCTGTTGTGGCTAGTATGTTGGCAATGTTAGTTATAATTTTGGGTGCACAAGGTCGCATACATTACAAAACGTTACCCCTAACACTTGATGGTTGCGAAGAATTGAATAAGACAATGTAAGCTATTTACTATTAATACAATGTTAATATTTCAATATTTTATATTATACATACTTTATATATATATACATATATATATGCAAACATTCTTATTATTTATTTATTATTATTATTATTATTATTATTATTATTATTATTATAAATATTTATATGTATATTTTTATAATTTATTTATTAGAGAGGTTTCGAAAAGTAGTGACCTGCAACAACAGAAATTCTTTTTACATTATTTTAATTAATTTATGGCTAGCTATACAGCTGTTTCTAGTATTGCGAGTATATTATCTATAGAATTTTATAAATATATATATAAATATATATATATATATAATATATAGAATTATATGTATATAACATAAAAGGAATTTTTGTTCTTGTAGTTCACTACTGTCATAGTAACGTTAAAATCGACTTTAATATTTATTTATTTATATATATTTTTTATATGCGATATAAAAATATACTGATGTTCAATGTTATATATTGTTTATACTTATTATTTTTATTTTTTTAATGGGCTAATTGTTCAATCCTTCAATTAATACACATTTCAATTATTTCTAAAAATCATTTTTTATTTTCATAATTATAAAAATGGGAAAAATTTAAAAAGTGTATTATTTGAATAATTGACCAATTAGCCCGTTTCAAAAATAATAATAATAAGTAAAAAATGTTCATAATTGAAACAATAAAATATGTTATATACATCTTAATCTTATATATCTTGTGTTAGTTAATAAAGAAAAATACTTTATTAAATTATTTCATATTTGGAATTGTTTTTAGTGCTTCAACCACCTCCACTTTACTTCACTCCACTCAACATGGCACAAATGCTTCAGAAGGCTTTAACATATTCGATCTTTCGTTCAATTGGTACGTAGTGGTTGGTGCTATAATACTTTTTGTGGTAGGCATACCATTGAGCTACATAATACCACCAGAAAAGGATGAGAAATTCAATCCCAAGCTACTCTCGCCCATCTTGCAATACTTTATGAAATACGAGCTGACAAATGTCGAAGAGATGCCCGAGATTTTAACAAAAACGAATTTAAAGCAATAGAAATATTTGATAGTCACTGGAAAGTTTCATACTCATTGTGTTCGAAACAGATAAGTTTATTGTACTGTGTACAAGTCAAAGCCGTTATTGTTACCATAAGAATTTTATTGTATGTAAAATTTAATTTATCTGTGTCTTAAAAACTTCGTGTTAAAGTTTTTAGGCATTAAACGTAAATTATAAATAAACATTTAATAAAACAAATTTAAGACAAACTAATTAAATGGATTATTTCTCGAATTTTTCTAATGTTTTGCTTATAGCATTAAAAATTATCTCTAATTATTTTATTTGAGTCCGTGACAGTCTGCAGTCTAAGAATTTATTACTTCAGCTAATTTAAGTAAGAAATATTCCATTCAATAATTTTTGCTCATAATGTTTTTATCTTAATGAACGAAATGACGTTGAGGCTTATCGGTGCTAAAGAAATTTATCTATAATTGTAAAAATATTGTGAAAAGGGGTAACACGATTTTATCTAAAGTCAAAAACAACGAAACCAACGAACTGATAAGACATAAATGGCAGTTCAGATTTTTATTTTTATTGTAATTTGTAATGAAATTGCAGGCAATTAAACTTTTCGTTATCACAGCAAATAAAACTAAAAGTACATGAGAATTATACACTTACAAAAATAGACTTAATAGTGTAATTAAACAAAAAAATGTGCTTAATCATTTAAGCTAAAAATAGTACAATATTTATATAAATATATATATTTATATCAGTTTGCAAGCAGCAAACGGCTACTCTTTATGGTCTTCAATAATTTCTATTGTTTAACGGTTGTGATAGAATCTTTATTTATTATCTATGTTAAAAGTTTCATAACAATGTTACCATTACCAACAATGCAATTTATCAACTCCTAAAAGACACGTTAACATATCAAAGAAAAAGTTTATTGATCTCAATCATAAGTTGTACATGACGCAAACTGTTACACCCACCGAAAGAAAACACTAACTAACCGTTGAGTATCGATAGCTGTACTCTTTATTAAAGTACTAGACGGCTTCACACATCCTGAATGGAATAGAACTCAAACAGAAAGTTCTTATGCCTCGATATCAGTTGAAAAATGTATTATAAGAAAATAAAGATACTAAATCTAGAAACGCTTCACAAAGGCTAAATGATGTTGTGTCTGCCTGTTCGCCATTTTGGGACGGGGTTCTTGGCAACTGAGAAAAATCCACAGACAACAACAAAAAAAGGAATATTCCCGCCATTAAAAATGTTTATAAACATACACACGAATAATCAGACCAAACAGAGAACATGATATCCTCACTATTGTTTATCCATAAATTCCTTTCAAACCCCCAGTATACCTCCCAGTGTTCCTACATATCCTTCTGTCCTGTCTAATTCTAATTTTTTTAATTTATTTTTAAGGTTGTCCATTATTTCCGAATGGGATCCAATAAGAAAGGAGATGACACTCTAAAAATTCTCTAATTATCTAATTCACTCTAACAAATAAAGACAGAGGGTATTTAGTATTTTTATTGTAGATGAAATTGTATCCACTATACGACACAGTTATATATTGTGGGGCGTTGGAACAGCGCACCATCCAACAAGTGGCACCACTGAAGTGAAGGATTAGCCGAAGTAGACCACGAATGGACTTGGCTACTTTTTCATCCTGTGTTGTCCTTTTTCGATTTTTTTGTTTATTATGTTTGCTTCAGTGAAAAAGTTCGATTTGAAGTTCTGTCCTCACTGCAAGTTTGTTAGTTGGGTCTGTATGATTTCTAAATGAATGAATGACGAGTGTGAGTGAAGGAAGGGTTTTAGAATAAAATATATCAAAGTGATGAATACGTTACGAAGGATAGATATCACTACTGTTCATTTTGAGATAAAGAATTTGCTTTGATATAGGGGGTCAGTTTCTGAGGTTTCAAGCATCCACACTTGAAGCAAGTAAAACTTTAAATGTAGTAGTGTCACAATTTAGGGATAGATGCAGATGATTTTTTTTTATTATACCGAGCATACCGGTAGAGTCACCGTGTCATGAGCGGCTTCTGAGGGGGTCAAATAATCAACAGACATAACAACAATGGTTTCAAAGAACCATCAAAAATCAAAGGTTTTTTTTATCTCAAGAGCGTTTCGTCAAAACGAAAAAGCAAAAAACAATGTCCTAAAATAATACGATATGTCATTGACATGTAGTATTATCTATAAAATAAAAAAGGTGTGAATTTAATGAGTACAGACATCGTATCCATAGTATCCAAAAAATACTAAATAAACTATTTGATATTAGTGCGTAAAGTCTTTTAATTCAAAATTTTTATCCAAAAGTATAGGATAAAAAATTCATTATTAAATGGATATATTACAATTTTTTTGAAATATTTTTAATTAATCGATATCCATGAAAAAAATATCAAATATAATATCAAGTACGTAATTAAATTCCAGGTGCAATATAAATAACAATTACGCTGAACTATTTGTAACTTTTGCAAATTTAATATATTATAATAATCCAGATTTTGTTAATTCAGGATATTTTATGTTTGTCAAGTTATTTTTGAACGCTGTGAAAAAGCTTTTGAGATCATATAAACAATGTATGGTATATATATATTTTAATTATTAATGGTTGTACAGGCTAATTTGTCTAAAAGTAACCGAATAAGGTATCTTTCTCTGGCGAAAACGAACAGGTACAAATCTTACTGTATATGGTATAAACTAAAATAATATCAAGACACTGCAACAAAAGAAAGGAAAGAAAGCAAAGGATTCCAAAAAAATTTCTAATGAATTTCCAGACGTTTGTTAGGGAGTTTTAAGGGCCAAGTATAGCTAATGAACGAAAACTCTCTTATTCAATATGTCAGATTTCTTTTATTTAGATCAAAAAATGATTGATGCAACTAAACCAAAGATTAAATTAGGCCAATCTTGTAACTAGTCATACCAGATGATGTAAGACCTGTTTAAAAATTTTAAGTAAGAATCATGTAAAATGTTGACATTTTTAGTAGTCGTTGCAGTTCTAGTTTAGGTAGGTACTCCAACTTCACAAATTGTTGAACCCCTAAATATCTTAAGAGTGGTCGTAAAAATTCAGTCGCCTTTTTTTTACTCCTCTATTTTAAACAATAAGTTCAAGGAAGCTGATTTAATCTGGATTAACTTTTGACATATTTATGGACTACTGCTGATTGCAGATGATAATATATTTTCAAAATAGAAAAATTTTAAAGAATCCATACTAATTGCTCATGATCGAATGAATAAATACATTTCAAGAATAAACTTTGAATGAAATAGTTTTCAAATATTATTAGTTAGAATAGAATAATTCAACTCCACTTTTTTATCTATGATACACCTAAATTTTCTTTGAATCAAGTGCTATTCAGACCAAAAAATTATGTTTATCAATTAATATAATGTTATGTATGTAATATATAATATACATAACATATACTTTTTGTTATTGAAAATGTTTGTAAATAAGTTCATTTAAATAATGTATTATAAGAGATTATGACGTGTTTTTCGATTTATTATACACAAAAAGAATTGGGACGTGATATTCTTTAAAATTTACTTATCACATATTTCAAAGTGCACATATAACAAAGTATATAAATTATATATACAATGCTATATATATAATATTAAAATATAAGTCATTAAACACGTGGAGAACCTGATTATTGCATTTTTTTAAACATAAGGCTACGATCAGTAATTGTGAATACAACTGGAAGTTGATTATTGTAAAATGGAAAGGTGAAAAAGGTAAAGGGATGTTAAACTTTGGCGTATTCCTTTAAGTTCCCCAACACAATAAGAAAATGACAACCACTTGATTGTCTTGGTTGAACTTGGTTAACCAGTAATAGAAGAACTACATTCTCCGTGCACCAGTGAAATAATAAAAAAAATAATTTGACAATGTTCCTAATAGATCAATATATGTACCTAGAAACCGAAAATCTGTTTAACCTAATCAGTTTCGTGGTTCTGGTTGCCTATATGAGAAGAACATATATTAATCTAATATATGATATGTTTGATCCCTAATTCGTTGGATATTACACGATAATTTTATTTGCATCATCAGTTTTACCAAGACGTTAAAAATTTAGATATTTTAGTAAAAATTTTAATTTCTGTTGATTAAAAATTTTATATCAACTAAAATTTCATCATTACTACTTTGACTAACGTCAGATTTAATTTAATATCACAATAATATTGTTGCAAAAGAGGAAAGTTTTAATTTATTTATTATGGTTTTTATTATTTTTTAGTCTATAAGCCCTACTTTATAGCAAGTCATGCAACATAATTCTTACTTAAAGTGAAAAGCCTCAAACTTTTACGATTTCGTTCATTGTATCCGTGAAAAGATTAAATGCGAAAGAAAGTGAATATTTATTCAATGACGTAGATTTTTTTTATTTACTTGAGAAAATACTATTGTTTTAAGTCAGTAAACTCGAAATAAATTTAAATAAATTTCTCAGTCACCTCATCTAAGCTTTTTAATAAACAATAAAAGTACTTTATTCAAGTGTATGTTAAGGA